AATCCTGATGCTGCAGTTCTCCTTTTCTGGGAAAATAGTCCCAACTAGTCAATTTCCAACTTCCTACTGATTTTCCCATTGAATTACCTTGTGGAAATCTATCAGGAAGCATCAGAAATCTCCCCCTCCTCCACTTCCCTTCCCTTTTGGCAGGTAGTAGCTGCTGCTGGCTAAGGAAGGGAGTGAGGGACTGGGAGACCAGCTTAAAAAAAAACTGTCATGGGACATCGAAAAAGATCACAAAACTACAGCAGCAACCAGTAGTAATAAACCAACTATAATCTTCCTAAATTTCATTTCCTCAGGAGTCATGGATTCTGGATTTTGGAGGCATTCTGTAAGTTAGTCCCTTTGAAATACCTCGGTTCAAAAGTTGGTGCCTGTTTTATCTAGTTAAAGGTCATGACAATGAAAATTTTAGCAGTATATAGATACATCAATGATAAAAAGCCTTGAGATAAGAACTTGCCAGATTGATCCCAGCCTTGCAGAAAGATTCTCCTCATTTAAAATCTGGTCAGCAAGGCCTTACTTCCAACTTGCAACCTCAATTAAACTGTGTTAGTTCTTGATTTAATTTCCTCTGCAATCTGAAATGAGAAATCAGAATGAGAATCATTCCAGACTGATAATCTGATCAATTCAACTATTTACATTTCATGTAATCTGTTCAGAAGATAAGAACGTAATTACTTTTACAATTGGGGGGGAAAAAAAACCCTGAGTTGTACTTCACTGTGATTAGAGATCAGATATTATTAAAAGAGAAAAAAAATCCATCTTCACAACTGGGACATTTCTAAACAATTTTTTTAAGGCTAATCCTACCATTAGGCAGATGCTGAGGGAGGGAATGCCAATAAAGACAAAGCATTTTGTATCATGTACTTTTTAGTAGCCTTTATCTCTGAGGTGCCCTATGAACATTATCCCGTTATCAATGTTGATTTAAGACTGAATTCTTAGTCAGGTGGAAGCCAAATAGTAAAATCACTTGGGACAGCCCTGGTTTTCCACAAATCATGGCAAGTCAGCTCTTATTTTCTTTTTAAAAAATCTTTGGAAGTCCTAGAGCTAATATTTATAAACATTTCCAAAACAATGCATCAAGCTGAGCCAGGATCTTGGTATTGTGTCAAGACTAGCATTGACTCTACGTGGGTTCAGACATCTGCAAAACAATGGTAGATCAAAGTCTCCACTGGCTGTGAAATGGCACTCTTCCCCCCTCTGTGAATCTTGTGATTCAATAAGGCATGACTTGGGTCAGGTTCCTGATGAGTTTCCTGTGTGGTTCATAGATCAGTCTGGAGGGGTTTTTTTCAGGTCCATCAAAGAACCAGCTAATGGCAGTTGATCTGTTTGGCTGAGAAGGGAAAAAGAAAGAAAGAAACTCAAGATGTATTGCTACTAGACCAAAATCACTGTTGGGATGACAAAAGTGACAATCTTTGGAAGTAGGAGGTACAGGGGCGGGCTGCTACTGGTTCGCCCAGGTTCGGGAAAACCCATAGCTAACGTTATGGCCAGTTTGGAGAACCTCCAAATCCCACCCCTGGCTGGCCCCACCCACCGCGCCCCTCGCCTCCCACCCTGCCCCACCCCTCCCAGGAGTTTCCACATGGCCTGTTTTGGATGTGAGGTAAGTGCAGGGCCCAGGCAGAGGCTCGGGCAGAGGTGGGTTGTTGCCTGGATTGGCTGAACCGGTAGTAGAAGTGGCAGGAGGCTCCACCCACCTGCTCAGAAGCTTCTGTGCACCCAAATCGTTAGTAAAGAAATTGGCAACCCACCTCTGGGCTCGGGGAGAGGGAGAAAGGCTTCTCAGAAGTTCTGGAAGGCTGGAAACAGGCCCATTTCTGGCCTCCAGAGGGACTCCAAAGCCCAGGGAGGCAGTTTTTGCCCTCCCAGAGGCTTCAGGAAAGCCTCTGGAGACTGGCGAAGGCAAAAATTCCCCTCCCCATCATGATGCAGGAGGCCGACTAGGCCATGCCCACCATGGTCACGCCCACCCAGCAACCAGGCGGAGAACCCATTGCTGAAATTTTTGAAGTCCACCCCTGAGGAGGGGTGTCAAGATAGTTAAGGTAGAAACTTTCGCTAGTATTGTTATGGTCCATCAAGACCATCCTTACTCCTGGTAACTACAAAAATAAGTCCATGAAGTTTCTTGGTAACATTTTCAGAAGCAACTTGCCAGTATAATATCTTCCTAAAGATGAAAGCAAGTAACGAGCCAAAACTCATCCAGTTGGCATCCATGTTAAAGGCAGGGCAAAGAGTCATAGTCTTCTAGCTTCGAAGCAAATGGCTTAGCCACTAAGCCAAAATATCTTCCTTGGATCAAGTGGTTTTAAATTGGTTTTTCTCAGGATAGCCATTTACAGAGCTCTATAGGAAGAGGAAAATGACCACAAGGAACAGAAAGAGGAAGAAGACTACATGAGACACTTTTAGTATAACAGCCCTATTCTCATTAATGTTCTTTGTAAGAATATTTCTCCAATGCTGTGCACAGTTATAAGAGTACCTCAATCACTAGTTACTGGCACTTACAAAGGCCTCTGTCCAGTGGTGGGTTGCTCTTACCTTTGCTACCAGTACACTAATTGCGGTCCATTCGTGCATGTGCCAGATGTGCGCTGTGTGCATGCCTTACGTGCCCTGCACACGCACGCGCACTCCACTGCCCCTGCGACATCTAGCTGCTCATTGGAGGTGTTGGAGGTTGCGCAGGTGCTGCACGCTGTGCGCGCATGTGCAATTGGCCCAGTTGCCTTAAAAATAGGTAAGAAACTCAGGAGTGGCCGGAGGGGTGCCAAATCAGCCACTGTATGGTACAGTGGCCGCACCTCCCGACTACTACCAATACGGCTGTACTGGACCGTATCAGCGGAATCCACCACTGCCGCTGTCACCAAACCATATATTCTGACTGGGTCTTGGACTGGGTCTTCTTCTGCAGATTTTAGTGCAGAAGTGGAATCGTCTGTTCATGCAGGCAGATTGTTTCAGGGATCTGTCTAGTAATATGAAGTAAGAGAAAGACTTAGCGGCAGAGTCATTAAGCAATGGCAGCTTTATAGAGAAGAATCTCAGCATTCTTTAATTTATCTTACAGGTGAAGGTGAGGTGAAGATTTTTCAAAGTTTACGAGGCAGCCCCACTGAACAGAAATTGTCAGTGGTTGTCAATAGTCAGAATAAGGGAAGGTAGTGAGGGAGAAGGAGCTATCTAATCTTCTTCCAGGCTATAAGAAAGATTTAAAAAGTCCTTATATGCAAACTGGGAGGCATGGTTTAAGAGATAGATACCGTATTTTTCGGAGTATAAGATGCACCTTTCCCCCAGAAAAGAGGGTGAAAATCTGGGTGTGTCTTATACACTGAATCCAGCATTTTTGGCCTCCTGAAACCCACCCCGTCACAAAAATGGAAGTGCAGAGGGTTTGAGAGGCCTGCAAAGTGCTCCTGGGGGCTGGGGAGGGCAAAAACAAGCAAAAAATGGGCCCTTTTTTGCTCGTGTTTGCCCCCCAACCCCCAGGAGCACTCTACAAGCCTCCCAAAGCATATGCATGCTCTGTTTTTTTTTGCAAAAAACGGGCCCATTTTTGTGGAAAAAAGGGCTGTTTTTGCTCATTTTTGGCCCCCAGCCCCCAGGAGCACTTTGCAGACCTCTCAAACTCTCCGCATGCCCCATTTTTCACAAAAACTTTTTTTTAAGTTTACCTCTTCAAAATCTTGGTGTGTTTATACTCCAGTGCATCTTATACTTCAAAAAATACGGTAGTTAGAAGAGTTGTACAACTTGCAACCATTTGTTTAATGACCGGTTGAAGTTATCATGGCACTGGAAAAAAGTGACATGGACAATCCTCACACTTG